ACCAGTGATAGCACCAACACTACTACACTCCATGTTCAGATTGAGGAGATATGAGCACAATGCTGACTTTAAATAGCGTCACCTCCGACTTACAATACAGTTAGTAATAGTACCAGCAAATACTATCACTCAGCTACACCCTAATTAGTAGTATTCGAAATAACCTTAGTGTTAGTATAAGTACCAGCCCTCGCTTCCGAGAGTCTGGCTAGCCACTTACTATGAATGAATGAGGGAAGACAGTGCAGTAGTATCCGTGCATAGTCTGCTGTCACTAAAGGCTCAGTTTAGGCGGTGTTTCTGGCTGCATTGGAGAAGGCGGCTTCCGCCCAAAACCTGCACGGTCATCTCAAATTTGGTATTGTCACCGGTTTAATGCGGTGGAGGGTTTGATTTAGGTAGACAGTTGCGCGTCTATTTCACTATAATCTCGTACTTAGCTCCAATTACCGTATCTGCTCCTTAGCACATGGTGGACTTCGTCGAAATCTATGGTCATAAAACACCCTACTACTAGTACAAAAACAAAAACATCAACTACAACTACTTTAAGTTTTGTGCGAATCAACGCATTACGTAGTGCGTTCACCTAGTGATAAGAGAGCATTTCACAAAGACTCAATTCACCGCAAGGTCATTGTGAGGTCATGCTCGCAACATCCCGACCAATGCTGCCAACAACACCACCGAACTAGAAGATCCGCCGACAATGCAAGCTTCCAGTTAAACGTGTCTGGTAGGTTTACATTAGCTGCCTACGTTCGGCATATATATTAAAAGGCATGGACAGGTAGCTGACGCTCACTGAATTGTTATAGGGATACGAGTGGCTATACACTCAGAGCCTACGGCCTGGAATCATACGCACAGGCAAACAAAAAACGCTAATAAACGTTCACACAGCATGAAGAACGATCAATCAGCGGACACACGCGACGAGCGCCCACACAGCGTTGGGAACTATCGAGTAGAGGGCATAGGTAACGACCGCCCACAGAGCGCGGCAAACTATCGATTAGTGGCAGGCCAGAACAGCGGTCGCATGATTTTTGGCCAGTAGTATTCTAGAAGGCCAGAGCCTAATAAATAGGTTGGACTTGAGAAGCTAAGGAATCCGTTGTTTCTCTACCGACCTGAATAAATGCTTGCTATCAAAACCAATTTTGCCTTCTCTGCTTATTATTCCTGGGAACATAACAGCATAAATCCTCTGAAAATCATAAAAAGGACATTAAACCTAGGTTTTTTAACGTCTGCTTCAACCCCTTTATTCTAGCAAAGGCTAGCGAAATGTCGGCAAAATTACGGAAAACCTTCAATACTACAAACTACAGCAAAAAAATGATCAAATCGAAAGTATAGAGCAGAAGTGAATGCCAACAGAATAGCATGAGTAGAGAGCCCAAAATCTACGAAAACACAAAGAGCAAACCCCAAGCGTGCGACGTGTATGGATCCGAAAATTCTGAGCAAACGGGTTTCGCGCATTTGAAAAATACTAAAAGACATTTATTCACGTTTGTTTCTTATATTTTTCGCATTTCCCCTTCATATAGAAAAGTGTCTCTTGGAATAAGGATGAAGTCTGCAGTGTGAGAGACATGTCTTTAAGTTAATTTAGGCTGCGTCCCTGGAAGCAGGTAAATCCATGAAGAGGGGGCATACCCGACGATTTATTAAACGTGTCCAGGGTTGGTGCTCAAAACCGCACAGTTCGCACGCGTTTTTCCTATGCTGAAGATTCAAAGGTTCAAATACTTATTGCATAAATAAAGCCCATATTACCTTAAAGAACATTCTGTTGACGAAAAGTATTCCTAAGATATTTTGCAAAGTTTGTTTTATCGTGCCACGTTATTGAGGTCGCCAGAACGCGCGTCTATTGCATTATCAAGTGTGGTCATGCGAATTCCGATTGCTGAGCGTTTGGTATGAAAGAAGTGTTTGGTAAGTAAATATTTAGCTGAATTATTTTTATTAACTGCTTAAGTAGACTGCTTATCTAATTAACAGACACATACCGATGCTGCATAGCATGTTTTTTGAACAATAATTTGTACGAAATCACGATAAACCATTGTTCCTGCCTGTTAGCCTAAGTTTTTCTGGGCGTTCTAATATCACCTTATATATTCAACAAAAAGGCTTTGAACTGATATAATGACAGTTCATAGGAAAAATATATGCAGTCTGTCCACTCCCGTCCTTATAGTGACTGTTTGTGCGCGGAAATGCGAGGTTTCGTGCCAGCCGCTGGCCGCCAACTGA